GGGGGAGCTAGGGGGAGCTCGGCTCCCCTTAATAAGACATGGGCTCCCCTGAAAACGTGATTTGTGAAATTTTGGGGGGTCTCAAAAAATATTGACAATGTGTTATTTTGACGTGCAATTTCAGTTTTGTGTAATGTGATCATCGTGGATTATTATGTGTAAAATTGCAAAAATATCGTTCATTCGTGCGTGACGGCGATTTAAACCTAATTCACTTCAATTAAGATAACTATACATGCTATTCTTGTCATGAGCATCAAGGTGTAGGGGCGCTGTGGTTTAACCGTTGTTCATATGAACTCAGACAGCCTGATGCTTTGTTTATAGACTATTTGTGGGTGGCTGTTTGTAGTTTCACCTATCAATTCATGTCGATAAAGTATAATAGGGTACATCCTGTATAGTAATTTATCCTATATAGTGCTTGCATAAAGCAAGTAGTGCATACACTTGTAGCTGTTGTATATCTTTGTAATTCATTGTAAGCCCCCTTTTGAGGCACGCGCAAGTGCGCAAACCCCCCTTTATAAAAAAAACAAGTGGGCTCCCCCAAAGTCCACGGTGTAGTTCTAACACTGCCCTCTTCCTAAGCGCCAGGGACCCCAACCCAAGATTGCGTTGGACCCGGCCCCTCAGGCATCATCCTGATCTGTGAAGACAGGAAGAGGATGGGGTCAGATCTCGCCACGGCCGGACCGCCCCTCAAGCAGCCTCTCTTACACCTCTTGACACCCCGTTCAGCTCCGGGTGCAGAAGGAAATGTGTTTTGTGCGAACAACGGGTCCGTTCGTGCGCCCAAGCATTCAACCGCTGTGATAGCGGAAAAAATAATAAAACACACAACATTTTCAAAAAGAGAGCAAACTTCCTCTTCCATCACTCGTAAGTGTTCTGCCCCCATGCGGCCAGTCACCCGCCCGAGTTAGTTCAACCCCTCGTCACGCAGGCTGAGGCCTGGCAGGCCATCCCTGGAGTGTCCAGATGGGTTATGGGGATAATAAAGCGAGAATATTCACTCCAATTCGCTCGAAGACCCCCGCGCTTCAGCGGCGTGGTCCCCACCTCAGTGCAGAGCAGGGACGCTCACGTCCAGTGCTCAGAGGTGATGAATTTGCTGGCAAAAGGAGCCGTGGAAAAGGTTCCTCCAGCCCAGAGCGAGTCAGGCCTTTACAGCCGTTACTTCATCGTCTCCAAAAGAGATGGTGGCCTCCGACCCATCCTTGATCTCAGACACCTGAATCGCGCCCTCATGAAAAGGTCGTTCAGGATGATTACAATGAAACAGATCCTCGCGCAAATTCGCTCGGGAGACTGGTTCTTTTCTCTGGACCTGTTATGGTCATCCGCTTACTGAGGGGTGCTAGGAGGCTGAATCCGCCTCGTCTCCCTACCGTCCCTTCATGGTGCCCACTGTGCTGATGGACCTGAAGGGCCCCAATTTGAGCCACTACAGTCTGCCAACATTAGGTCGCTATCGCTGAAGACTGCTCTGCTTCTAGCACTGGCTTCAGTAAAGTGAATAGGGGACCTCTATTAGCCCTGCCTGCCTGGAATTTGGGCCTAACGACTCTAAAGTAGTCCTGAAACCAAGGCACGGTTACGTACCTAAAGTACTCTCCACTCCATTCAAAGCACAGGTCATTACGCTCTCCGCGCTTCCTCCAACTGAAGAGGACAGAGAGCTATCCTGGCCCAGTCAGAGGCAAAATTAATATCTCACAGAGCCCTCCTCCTCAACCACCTGGAGTGCCTGGGACTCGGTCAATTTTGACAAGAGCTCGTTGCTTCCCAGCCAGCGAATTTCGTTCCTGGGAACAATTTTCGACTCAGCCCAAATATCCGCTCCCTATAGGCTATCGGAACAACTCTTTGTCGGCTTCAGTAACCGCAACAAAGGGCTTCCGGTTACGAAGCAAAGACTCTCTAGATGGATAGTAGACTCCATCTCGCTAGCGTACTCTTCCTTGGGCCTCCAATGCCCCATTGGAGTACGGGCCCACTCGACTAGAGGCATCGCCTTGTCGTGGGCATGGTCCAGTGGTGTGTCCATTGCGGATATTTG